GATTTTCTTATTTCTTTCAAATAGCAGGAATTTGAAAGTTAATATATTTATTGAAAAACAAATAATCTAGCGCTATATTTTTTAAACATTAGATATAAATGTTGCCTAACAGAGTGTCAGAGTATATTACCTACTGCTGTTAATTATGGGTTAGTAAAACAAGGCTATCTTGAAGCTTAATATTCATTAAAACAGTGTTTCTTAAAGTGTGGTCTCAGGGTTCTGTAAAATCAAAATTATCTGCCACCCTATGTTGAAAAATTATATAATATAAAAATCCAATCAATTGTGATAGTGGTATATTCAGCAATGAATATATTAATTTTAATTTTTAATACAGTAAACACAGATAAATATATCATTAAAAGCTCTTTTGGGGTCCACCATAATTTTTAAAAGTTGAAGAGGTTCTGAAATAAAAATGTTTAAGAAACATTGTATTAAAGAACATGTTATAAGATTAATTAACATATAATACATAACATAATAAAAATTATGAATACTACAAATGTACTCCATACCACCTGACTGACAGTCATTAAAACATATTAAATTCCACATTTTCAATAAAATTCTAAGCATCCTTTGGCAAATCTAGGAGTGGAAAGGGGATTATTTATAGCTAAGATAATTTAATATTTTTTATTTTTTATTTGGTTTGTGCAAAGTAACATGAGTTTCTTTTTAATTTAGGAATATTTTGCAGCATAAAATAACTATTTTTAAAATTAAAATTATACTAATTTAACAAGGTAAAATGTTACAGAAATTTTTTCTCCTTCTCTTGATACAACTGTCATAATGCGATCATAATCCTTTGGGTGAAATTCCACTTCATTTATATTGTCAGATAAACCAGGAAGGTGTGGCTAAAAGAAAAATGAGACGAATTACAACAATATAATTGTTATTTAAATTAGCCATTCTCATAAATAAGATTATATGTTAAAGGAAAAAAATGTAGAACTGAAGAATTGTAATATAAGCAGTTTGTACTGATAACTATTCCAACACAAGTCAATATTCACTGAGGATTTATCATATGATAAATAATTATCCATCCATATATGAGTACAAACCTATATAACACTTGTAACCTACCTGAATAGTGTGAGAATCACTAGCCTGTCCAAGTATCTCCAGAAGGGCAGGATCAGAAATAAAAAAGAATCTAGGAAACAGTAATCTTTTTTTTTCCAAATACCTTTAGTAAGAAAAGAAGTATATTTCAGAAAAACATTTATTCTCCTGTTTTATGAATATGTTTTATCAGCTAAGACTGTAATTACACGTACATACAAATATTTTGAGCTTTCAGCTGAATTTCTACAAAATTGTTTTTAGATTTACATATGTAAATAGGTTAACAGCCATATGAATCAGAGAGGAATAACTTGCAGCCCTTAAGATGTTCCTGGATTGCAATTCCCATTATCGTTTTCTATGAACCACGATGGCTAAGATTTACAGAAGGTCTTTCTCAGCATATCACTGATCCCTTATAGAGCTATATCTAGATCCACCATTAGAAGTTCACCTTCTAAGTTTATTGGAGCTTTCCCTCAAATAAATGTATGCAGCAAAGGTAAAGCTTTCTTCTGCCCAGTTGTGTCTGACTCGAGGGGGTGGTGTTCACCTCTGTTTCTTAGCCGAAGGATCAGCATTGTCTGAAGACATTTCCATGGTCTTATGACCAACATGACTATATACTGAGGTGCATGGAATGCTATTACCTTCTCACCGAAAAGGTATCTATTTATCTACTCACATTTGCATGCTTTCCTTCAAGATTGGCAGAAACTGGGGCAAGTAACAGGAGCTCACCCCATTGCGCAGTGCTTGGGTTTTGAACCCGGGCTGTCAACTTTCCAGCTGACAAGCTCAGCGTCTTTAGCCATCACACCCATAAGAATTGTATGCAGTATTACATCTTTAAGCTTTATGGCACATAGTTCTTTCTATTTTTATTACAATAGATCAAGATAATTGGTGGAATAATGCTGGAAATAAATTATTCAAGTTCTGGAATTTTTCAACTGTGTGAAGCTGCCACTGAACTCCAAGAGCCAATGTCCTTCTTGTTTTAGATAGATTCCCTATTCAAATGTCTTTATTGCTTTTTTTAGTGTGTGTAATCCTCACATCAACTTTCTTTTATCAATTATATGTGATACAACTGGACCTCTGCTTCATTTCGCTTCAGCATCTTCAAACACAGTTTGCACCAGAAAATCAAATACAAGTTAAAACTGAAATGCAAATAACTAGAACCCTGAATTTTGGGGAAAATCTAGGGCTGTTTTATCCTTTTTTTGCTCCCTTTAAATATTACCAGTGAATTAAATATGTAAAACTTTTACTTCAAAGAGATGTATAACGATATTCTTTTATTTTGCAACTTCTTCTCATTACTTTCTGAACATTTTTAAAAAATGAAAAGAAATATTCAAGGCTAGAGAATATAACCAAAATTACATGCTCAAGTCTAAACTCATAAGTTTACAATTAGCTATACCATGCTACATATTAATCTAAAATGTTAATATTCTCTCTTTAAATAACAATATTCTTAAAATTGTCCTCCCAAAAATAATTTAGAATGCCACTAGAATAAGAGGCAGATTAATAAAATAAAAATAAAAATGCACTGTTAAATTATGGCAATAATTTTTATTATTGTTGTTGTTGTAGTTATTATTATTATTATATCTTAATAATAATAATATCTTTGCAGCATTGAAAAAATATTAATAATTTTTTTACCCTGTAAGTGATTTCTGGCATACTTCCAATTGTTCATGTAAATGTGGTAAAAGTTGTCCCATAGTTTCATCTCCAACACAACAGCTAATTACATTGGGATTTTCATGTGCTCGCTGCATTATTTTTATCCATGATTTATCTATGTTTTGAAAACGTTTTGCTTCCTAAATAGAATAAATTCATATTCATTTGAATAAGAATCAGAGGTCATTCAAGCTAGATACATTTAAGCTTAAATATTTGCACAGTACAGCAGTAGCTGATTTACCTACTGATTTACCTGGGGTAATTGCTTGGCGATATCCCCACCTACAAAAACAGCTTCAAGGTAAACCCAGAGGTTTTGTACAATCAACCATTCTTCAATTATATCACTGGAGGTGCTGAGTTTGAATATCCAGTTTTGAATATCTTTTTTAAATGGTGCATTGTATCTAAAAATAGAAGGCAAAGAAAAGAGCTGATGTAGTTCCCACTTCAAAAAAGGGAAAAAAAGGATCCAGGAAATTACAGACCTATCAGCCTGACCTCAATACCTGGGAACATTCTGGAAAAGACAATCAAACAACGAATCGGCGAACACCTACAGGCAAACCAAGTCATTACTAAAAGTCAACACGGATTTGTCAAAAACAGATCATGCCAGACAAATCTTATTGCATTCTTTGACCAAGTGACAAAATTAGTGGACCAGAGGAATGCTGTGGTTATAATTTACCTGGACTTCAGTAAGGCATTTGACAAAGTAGATCACAACCTACTACTTGATAAGATAGAAAAATGCGGGTTAGACAGCATCACCATCAGATGGATCCGTAGCTGGCTGACTGGCCGTACTCAGCGTGTGGTCCTCAATGGAACCGCATCTACATGGAGGGAAGTGTGTAGTGGGGTACCCCAGGGCTCTGTTCTGGGCCCAGTGCTCTTCAACATCTTCATCAACAATTTGGACAAGGGGATAGATGGGGAACTCATCAAATTTGCAGACAACACCAAACTGGCAGGAATACCAACACTCCAGAAGACAGGCTTAGGATACAGGAGGATCTGGATAGACTTGAACACTGGGCGCTATATAATAAAATGAAATTCAATGGTAAAAAAAGTAAGGTTCTACATTTAGGCAAGAAAAACCAAATGTACAGGTATGGTATAGGGGGTACCTTGCTCAATAGTAGTAACTGTGAGAGGGATCTCAGAGTCCTAGTGGACAATCATTTAAATATGAGCCAGCAGTGTGTTGCAGCTGCCAAAAAAGCCAACAGAGTGCTAGGCTGCATTAACAGAGGGATAGAATCAAGATCATGTGAAGTATTAATACCACTTTATAATGCCTTGGTAAGGCCACACCTGGAATACTGTATCCAGTTTTGGTCACCATGATGTAAAAAAGATGTTGAGACTCTAGAAAGAGTACAGAGAAGAGCAACAAAGATGATTAGGGGACTAGAGGCTAAAACGTATAAGGAACGGTTGCTGGAATTGGGTATGTCTAGTTTAATGAAGAGAAGGACGAGGGGGGACATGATAGCAGTGTTCCAATATCTCAGAGGCTGCCATAAAGAAGAGGGAGTCAAGCTATTTTCCAATGCACCTGAAGGCAGGACAAGGAGCAACGGGTGGAAACTAACCAAAGAGAGAAGCAACCTAGAACTAAGGAGAAACTTCCTGACAGTTAGAACAATTAACCAGTGGAACAATCTGCCTCCAGAAGCAGTGAATGCGCCAACACTGGAAGTTTTTAAGAAGAAACTGGACAGCCATTTGTCCGAAATGGTATAGGGTTTCCTGCCTGAGCAGAGGATTGGACTAGATGACCTCCAAGGTCCCTTCCAACTTATTATTATTATCGATCATCGCACAGTCAGCCAGATGTTCAGACTGGATTTGGCATTTTGTCTACCTATCGAGTCCTTACCCAGGACCTGGGATAGGCAGATGGGGATGTTTGATGGTATTACAGATATCGTCGCAGGATGGAAGCAGTTCCTAATAAGGCTGCCTTTTGCAATTGACTAATAGCGAATTTGTCAATGCCAATGCTGTTCAAGTGGTGCTCCAGTTGTTTTGGGATTGCACCCAAGGAGCCTATTACTATTGGTACTACCCTGGCTTGCTTTTGCCACAGTCTTTCTATTTCTATTTGTAGGTCTTTGTATTTTGTTATCTTCTCCAGTTCTTTCTCTTCTATTCTGCTATCTCCAGGCACTGCCACATCCACTATCCAGACTTTTTTGTCTTTCTTATCGACACTTGTTAAGTCTGGGTGTTATGTTGCAGGTGCTTGTCTGTTTGAATTCTGAAGTCCCAGAGCAGTTTAATTTTATCATTTTCTATGACTTTCTCTATTTTATGATCACACCAGTTTTTGCTTACAGGCAAATGATATTTTTTGCAGATCTTCCAATGCACAATTGTTGCTACTTTGTCATGCCGCTGCTTGTAATCAGTCTGTGCAATCTTCTTGCAACAGCTTACCAAGTGGTCCACTGTTTCTTCAGCTTCTTTGCATAGGCGGCACTTACTGTCTGTTGCTGTCTTCTCAATTTTGACTTTGTACGCATTTGTCCTTAAGGCTTGGTCTTGTGCAGCCAGAATTAGTCCCTCGGTCTCTTTCTTCAATTTTCCTGCTCTTAGCCATTGCCAGGTCTTGTTATTATCTGCGTTCCCAGCTATTTTTTCATGTATTGGCCATGTAGTGCTTTGTCTTCCCATGCCTCTATTCTGTTCTTCATTTGGTCTTTCTTGTAGGCCAGTTTGGTCTCTCCAGTAGTTAGTAAGCCTTCCTGATATACTAATTTCAGTGCATCTTAATCATTGTTATTCAGATATTCTTCCAAAGCCATTTTTTCTTCTTCAACCATCTGATGTACTTGTAGCATTCCACGCCCACCTATTTGCCTTGGTAGATAAAGTCTATCAATGTCACTGCGTGGATGAAGGGCATGATTCATTGTCATTATTTTCTGGTCTGCCTATCCACTGCTTTTAGTTCGGCTTGAGGTCCAGTCCACTATTCCAGTTGTGTACAAATGCTGGGATGCCCAGGTGTTGATTGCCCTTTACTGGTATTTCATCCATTGAGTTTTGTATTTTAAGATCTTCTTCACTCTCTGATGATTCACACGCTAATCTTTTCTTGACTTCAGTGTGCACTTGATGTTGTCAGTGAAGGGATACCCAAAGTTATTTGTAGTAATCTTCCTCATCCAGATTCTTAATGTTATTTTCGTGGGGCATCTTGATTCCTTCAGTTTTCACTACTTTTCCTTGTTTGATAGTAAGTGTGGCACATTTGTCCAAGCCAAACTCCATTACAATATCTTGGCTATCTATACGGACAGTGTTGAGCAGCGATTCTATTTCAGATGATGTTTTTCCATACAGCTTCAGGTCATCCATGTAAAGGAGATGGGATAGTCTGGTAGATGTTTTTGATGTTTGATAGCCATGTTCTGAGTTATTCAGTATTGTTGACAGAGGAAACAGTGCAATAACAAATAGTAATGGTGATAATGAATCTCCTTGAAATGTTCCTCTCTTGATATTAACCTCTCCCAGTCTTTCACCATTGATCTGCAACTATGTCTTCCATTGTGCCATCGATCTTTGCACAAATTTTCTGATGTTTCTACTGACTTCTGTTATTTCTAGGCACTATCATCCAATCATTGGCAGAGATAAAATGCCTTTTTGTAGTAATCCATGCTAATTCAGGTTGGTCACTTCTCTTGCAGTTTTCCAAGATCACTTTGTCTTATTAGGAGGTGATCTTTGTTCCTCTGCGTTGGGGCGGTTTCCTTTCGGCTCAGGTGGAAAGAGATTGTTTTCAACTAGATGCTGTTGCACTGCATCAGCTACTACACCAGTTAGTAATTGGAAAGTTGTTGGTAAGCAGGTAATTGGCCTGTAGTTACCTGGTGTTGCCCCTTTTGCTGGATTTTTCATTATTAGGTAGGTTTTCCCAGTTGTTAGACACTTTTCAATTTCTCCTCCTTGTATTATATTGTTGAACTGTTTGGCAATGAGTGGGTGTATAACAGTTAGATGTTTCAACCAAAACCCATGCAGTTCATCTTCACCTGGTGCTGACCAATTTTTGATTTTCTTTGCTCTTTTTTCTACCATTTTTGTTGTTATTGATAGTTCTTTCATTTCAACTTCTGTTTTATTTGCATCCACCTCTTTTAACCAAGCCGCATCCTTATTGTATTTCTTTGGGTTATCCCATATCTGCTTCCAGAACTGTACTGTTTCTTCCTTGTCAGGTACTGACTGATTCCTTGCAGTTTCTACATTGATGGATTGGTAGAAACGTTTCTGATTGGATTGAAATTGGAGGTTCTGCCTATAGTTTGCAATTCGAGCTTCATATCTACTGATTTTCCTGGCTATAGCTGTTATTTGTTGCTTTATTATTTCCAGTGCTTCCTTGATCTTCCTTGTTTCTAAGTGGTATTTCTTGATTAGGTATTCTTTGGTCTTCTTGTTCCTCAGCTTCTTTTCTTTTATCTGTTCTCGCTTGCTTGCATGTGATCTTAATTTGCTGATCTTATTTTCTAGTCTAACCTTCCATTTTTCTGGTGCACTGTTTGTTTGTTTTTCTTCTTTGTTGATTTTGCATCCCAGGTATTCTGTTATAACTGCAGCTGTGCTGTACATTAGTTGGTTTGTTTATTGCAGTGAATTGGTGCTTATACTTGATATTGCAATATTTGCATCTTTTAATGCTTCTGCTAGCTGTTTCTTTGGAACAAGCTTCAATGCAGGTAGCCTGATTCTGTTGTTTTTGTGCTGTTCGAGAGCTCATTTATTCTTTGTTTCAATTCTTTTATTTCTTAGTTTAGGAGGGTTTTGTTCTTCCTGAGGTAGAGGTGACTGATTTCCAATGAGAACAGTTGTATATCTCTGCAAGATTCCTTCACTGCCAACTCCCCCTGGTTGCCTCTACATTCTGACATTACTTCTGGTAAGGTCTTTGATTTCTTTGCCCTGGGTAAACCTTTGCAGTTCGTCAATTCTGTTTCTGTGAATACTTTATTTTGTATTATAAATCGGCGTTGATCTGCTAGTCTCTGTTCTGTTATTTCTGATTCTGATGTTGTTCTTTCCAGAACTGGTGCATTCGTTTTAGATATCCTCTTCTTGTTGGACTTGATCTGTAGTAACAGATCATTATTTCTTTGTTTTCCATCACTGTGTATCTGCGACGGGTAAACACCTGTTCTTCCAGTAGTTCTGCAGCTGCTGGCCCTGGTTGCTCAGCCAACAGTCCTGAGTCCTGTAACCCATTTTTCACCAGATATCCAGAAACTCCAATATCTAGCATGGATCTTGTTCACCCGGGTGACATCCGAGCCGGTATGACATTCTGAAATTTACGTCTCACCATATTTTGTATGGAGAGACACCTCTTTGTCTGACTCCTCT